TGACAAATTTTCTTGTTGTTTCCTAACCTATAAACATCACCTTTTAGCATGTATAGTATATGAATAAAGGGGAGTGTCACTCTCCTAGGGATGATGTCAAAAGAAAGGGCAACAGAATGGTGGATGAATGAGATTTCAAATGTGAGTATGTGTGAACAAAAGTGCTCCCCAAGCGCAAGGAGACTTTCGCGGATCGTGTTTTACTTGGTGGTATTCCAAGGTCGTTTCCACGGGGAAGGAAGTAAACCGAGGGGAAGGTGATTTTGGGAGAAAGAAAGTGTAAAATCTTTGATTGTTGGAAGTTGTTTGGTGAAGTTGTTTTGATGCTAGTAAAATGAGAAACAAATGTTGGCAAATCCAAGAGGTCACTCCAATAGGAATACCGTCTCAACTCAAAACCCTCCTCCAATAGAGCATGAATTAACGATTGATTCGTAGGAAGCTAGGCGTAAGATTGGTGAGTATCTAAGCATAAATCGTGACTAGGCCTACGGAATATCAAAGACTCACCAAGTTATCCACCCTCAACCCAGTCAAACCGAACCATTGAACTCTGAAAGAGGGGAGGAGAATGAGTTGAAATGGTATACCCAAGTGGAGGTTCCTCTTGGTTTTGCCAACTAAGAGATTTAGCTATTCATGCTTAAAATAAAGACAACAATATGATGAGAAGACATTATGAAAAAATAAAGACTAAAGCTAAGCATAAACGAATTGCATAAATTTAACTTCCGGATAACCACCTCTTACTAAAGATTGGATGAGAAACTACTCACTCTTCATGGCTTTGTTAAAACTAGAAAAGTGAGTGATGCTCATCCCTCCAAGTAGAGGAGTTACAAGGTAACACATTTTACACAAGGAGCCGATCTTCGACAAAGAATGAGTGAATCACGTTCCACCCTTCACGGCTTTGGTAAAGCTCTAGAAAAGTGGAAGAGTTTCACTCCTCTAAGGGAAGAAGGAAGCTCAAGCAATGGAAGTAAAAGAGCAATAACACAATAAAAGAAAGCAATACTTAAAGTAAAAGAAAGCAATAAATTAAAAGGAAGCAAGAATACAATAAAAGAAAGCAATACTTAAAGAAAGCTATAAGCAATAAGGAAAGCAATAATACTTTTGGAGGGTTTTCCACTACCAAAAGATGAATGCTTTACAAGTCCTAAGGGGTGGTATTTATAGGCAACAAGGGAGGGTGAAAGTCTTGTTAGGTGGCCTTGAATCTTGTTAGGTGGACTTGAAGAGTCTTGTTAGGTGGCTTTGAATCTTGTTAGGTGGACTTGAAAATCTTGTTAGGTGGCTTTGAATCTTGTTAGGTGGACTTGAAAATCTTGTTAGGTGGCCTTGAATTCTTTGATCCTCCTTTGTTTTGAGCTTTGATAATTGGCACCCCAGTAGTTTGTAGCTTTAATGCAATTGGCTCCCTAGTAGTTTGTAGCTTTGACGCACAAAATCCTGAAAAGAACAACAATTAATGCATTATCCTTTATTCACACACTAATTCTAATTTGATTTATTTTGACTAGTTTAACTTTATTCAACTAACACAATTTACCTATTAAATTATGCCTTAATTAGGGTTAATCAGTCCCTTCCCTATGTCATTTGGCTATCTATGCTAGTAGTGGACTACGTGTCCAAATGGGTGGAGGCTATCCCAACCAAGACCAATGACCACTAGGTCGTGGTCAAATTCTTGAAAGAGAACATCTTTTCGAGGTTTGGGATGCCTTGTGCAATGATAAGCGATGGTGGGTCACATTTCTATGATAGACCATTTGCATCATTGATGTATAAATATGGTGTCACACATAAGGTATCCACCGCCTATCACCCACAGACCAATGGCCAAATCGAGTTAGCCAATAAGGAGATTAAGAATATCATAGAGAAAGCGGTGAACCCAAATGGTAAAGATTGGTCATTTTGACTAACCGATGCCCTATGGGCTTACCGCATTGCCTACAAGCTGTCTTAGGCGTGTCCCCCTATCGGCTCGTCTATGGAAAGACTTTCCATTTGCCAGTTGAGATGGAACATAAGGTCTATTGGGCCATAAAGACTTGGAACTACAATTTGAGAATGGTCAGAGAGCATTGGAAGTTAAAATTGAATGAATTGGAAGAGATTCGTATGAAAGCTCAAAATTTTCAAAAGAATGGGCTAAGATCTGTAATGACAAATCCATTGTATGGAAGTCATTCCAGCCCAGCCAAAAAGTGTTGTTATACAACTCTCGTCTCTCAAATTTTCAAGGCAAACTCCGATCCCATTGGGATGGCCCCTATATTTTTAAGGTGGCCTACGCCAATGGAGTTGTGGAAGTCACAAACCCTGAGGATGGCAGGACATTCAAGATCAATGGCCAAAGACTCAAGTCATTCTTTGAGGGTTTTGAAGGATAAGGAGTGGAGGAGGATTTGACAGATCAGTATTTCCGGAATTGGTGGAGGAGTAACTAGTTTTTATGCTTTTTAGAGTGCAGTCGCTTTTAATTACTTACTTTACTTTTATTTCATCTTACTTACTTTCTTTTGTCGTATTGCTTTATTTTTCCTAGTTGTAGCTGTTGGTATTTTGTCGAAAGCTCAAATGCGAGGTATTCTCTAACCCTACTCATCTTTTTACAGTCCTTCATTGCATATCATATCTTTTTTGNATTACTTTTGGAGGATTTTCCACTACCAAAAGATGAATGGTTTACAAGTCCTAAGGGGTGGTATTTATAGGCAACAAGGGAGGGTGAAAGTCTTGTTAGGTGGCCTTGAATCTTGTTAGGTGGACTTGAAGAGTCTTGTTAGGTGGACTTGAAAATCTTGTTAGGTGACTTTGAATCTTGTTAGGTGGACTTGAAAATCTTGTTAGGTGGCCTTGAATTCTTTGATCCTCCTTTGTTTTGAGCTTTGATAATTGGCACCCCAGTAGTTTGTAGCTTTAATGCAATTGGCTCCCTAGTAGTTTGTAGCTTTGACGCACAAAATCCTGAAAAGAACAACAATTAATGCATTATCCTTTATTCACACACTAATTCTAATTTGATTTATTTTGACTAGTTTAACTTTATTCAACTAACACAATTTACCTATTAAATTATGCCTTAATTAGGGTTAATCAGTCCCTTCCCTATGTCATTTGGCTATCTATGCTAGTAGTGGACTACGTGTCCAAATGGGTGGAGGCTATCCCAACCAAGACCAATGACCACTAGGTCGTGGTCAAATTCTTGAAAGAGAACATCTTTTCGAGGTTTGGGATGCCTTGTGCAATGATAAGCGATGGTGGGTCACATTTCTATGATAGACCATTTGCATCATTGATGTATAAATATGGTGTCACACATAAGGTATCCACCGCCTATCACCCACAGACCAATGGCCAAATCGAGTTAGCCAATAAGGAGATTAAGAATATCATAGAGAAAGCGGTGAACCCAAATGGTAAAGATTGGTCATTTTGACTAACCGATGCCCTATGGGCTTACCGCATTGCCTACAAGCTGTCTTAGGCGTGTCCCCCTATCGGCTCGTCTATGGAAAGACTTTCCATTTGCCAGTTGAGATGGAACATAAGGTCTATTGGGCCATAAAGACTTGGAACTACAATTTGAGAATGGTCAGAGAGCATTGGAAGTTAAAATTGAATGAATTGGAAGAGATTCGTATGAAAGCTCAAAATTTTCAAAAGAATGGGCTAAGATCTGTAATGACAAATCCATTGTATGGAAGTCATTCCAGCCCAGCCAAAAAGTGTTGTTATACAACTCTCGTCTCTCAAATTTTCAAGGCAAACTCCGATCCCATTGGGATGGCCCCTATATTTTTAAGGTGGCCTACGCCAATGGAGTTGTGGAAGTCACAAACCCTGAGGATGGCAGGACATTCAAGATCAATGGCCAAAGACTCAAGTCATTCTTTGAGGGTTTTGAAGGATAAGGAGTGGAGGAGGATTTGACAGATCAGTATTTCCGGAATTGGTGGAGGAGTAACTAGTTTTTATGCTTTTTAGAGTGCAGTCGCTTTTAATTACTTACTTTACTTTTATTTCATCTTACTTACTTTCTTTTGTCGTATTGCTTTATTTTTCCTAGTTGTAGCTGTTGGTATTTTGTCGAAAGCTCAAATGCGAGGTATTCTCTAACCCTACTCATCTTTTTACAGTCCTTCATTGCATATCATATCTTTTTTGTTGCATTGAGGACAATGCATGAATCAAGTTGGGGGTGAGGTGCACCATTTGCATAATTCACCAATGTTTGTGAAAATTTTTGTGGTTAATACCAAATTTTGTAATGAAAAATTCACATATCACATATCATACAGATTTTTGTTTACATTAGTGCAAATTATGTGACAAATTTAAAAATTTTTGTTAAAAATATCTGAATGTTGATCGGAACCGTATGTGCTCTTTGAATGTGTAATTTTGGCATTTTACGGATGGGATCCATATTCTAAGGCTTGACATAAATAGTGGAGATAAGTCCCTCCATGAGTAGGTGAGCTTCTTTGAGAGAGAGCAAAAAGGGCTTTTAGAGTCTAAGAAGCGTCTTGAGGTTAAAATAATAGAACTTGATAGAGACTTTCAACAATCAGAAGAACTCTCAAAGAGACTTTTCCAAAGCACCGAAAAGCATGACAAAATATTGGTTATTAGGGAAAAGTGTTGGTGACAAGAGAGGATTAGAATTCACTAAACCCTAATGAACAGAACCTTTACTTCTTCCAAGACCATGTTTGTGAAGGGTAATCCTAACCCATCACCCCTGTGTAAGCACAAGTCCTAAAAGGACTAATTTTGGTAAGGGAAAGAATGAAAAAAAGTTGGTTAAAAAGGAAACCCAAAAAAAAAAACATCTTGTGTGTTTTACATGTGGTGAACATGGTCACTATAGTGCACATTACATTCAAAATAGGGACGTCTTAGACAAAAAATCCATGCATCTAGCTGACCAATCTAAAGCATTGAACAATCAAGTTGTCAATCTTTCTAAGCTTTTATAGATGCCACATGAATCCAAGCATACTTATGCATCATCTTCACATGGAACACATGCTAGAATGCACAAGGCTGCTTATACCTCCAAGGTCAAGATTGACGTACACAGACCCGGGGAGAAGAGATTTAGTCCTTTATTCATTCCCCAACCTAACCCGAATTTTAGGAAAGCAAAACAAGTTTGGGTGACTATGAAGAACCTTGAGAAAATCACTATCTCAACCAAGTTGGAGGTCCTGAGTGCTTCTAGCAAGGTCATGGCTCCTAAGAAATAGGAGAGGTGAGATAGTATGAACCTAGGTGATCACACATGCATTGCATCAAACACCATAGGGTCATACTTTATTTGTAAATATATTTTTTCTTTCTTTCTTTGTTTATTTGCTATTTGTTTTCCTATGAGAAAATATAAAAACAATAGAAAGATGAAAACCCAAAAACAAGATAAATATGAAAAATCAAAAACAAAAGAAAATCGAAAATTCGAACAAGTTTTGATGTCAATTTTGACATTCAATTTTAGGATTTCTGGTAAATACTTTTTTTTTCCTTTATTTAATGGCATTTTTAGGCATATTTTTCATGTACATGTGTTAGTTAAAAAATAAAAAAACATTGAAAAATGGAAGGCCCAAAAGATTTTCTTTTGTTTATTTTTCCTTGTTCATGATCATGGTAATTCACACTTTGCTTTACATTGAAATTGTTTCATCCTTAAATCAAAATTTAAATCTGCATTGCTATGAGTCATAAAAAGAGATAGAGAACATAGTGGCATAAATATTATTGCATGATTCATTAGCCAATGTCTCTTTCATCCTACCGTGCTAGGATGGTGTTTGCCTTTGAAAAATTTATAAACTATGTACACACATGTCATTCACCTTCACACTTAGGAGTTTTATTAGTTTGAACTATTAATGATCTTAAATGACTCTATATATTGGTGATAGGTGAACACATGGCTAAGGGTTAGTTAAACCTCAATCCCTTAAAAGATGTTGAAGGCCAATTGTAAGCCCAATATGGCCAAATATAAATAGGTGAGGCATTAATATATGGCTAAAAATAATTGCAATTGAATTGTGCAAGTACTTATGCTTAATTATAAATTTCTTATTTGTAAAGCTCATAGAGCTCAAGTTAACCATGATTAGAAGTATACATTAAAAGTACGGAATTCACAATCATATTGATTGAAGCAATAAAGTAGAAGGGATAAAAGAGTGGGGGAGTTTTCAAAAAGAGAATATTTAGGATAGTTACTAACCGGTCATGTATTCACTTAGACAATGCATTAGAATTTCATGATGAGCTTATTAATGATATAAACTAATCAGAATCCTTTTTGTGTTAGAGGTTGGTTTCGCACACGATGCACTCAAATTAGTCCAAGTGGAACAAAATTTGAACAAGTGTGAATGAAATTGAATCAAGTGAAGAAACATTACTCTAGGATTCATAAAATTAAGTTCAAGATCTTTGAATATGCCTTATAGTAATGCATTGAGATGCTGAATTTTGAATGGAGCTTTTATAATGCTAGCATATGTAATTTTCATAATTTTGAACGTTGATCATTAATTGGTTAATTTGAAAAGTGCATTGAAGTTAAATAAAAATTTATCCATGCATTGCATTGAATTGCATCTAGATTATATATATATCATGCATGGATGCTAGGTTTGAAGGATGGGTGGATGAGTGAACTGCCAGGACAGGATTGTTCTAAAGAGAAGCTAAATATGATCTACTATCAGAATTGAGAGTTTTTGGGAACTACTCAAGCGAACTCACGTACGTCGGAGGCCAGAGTTAGAAAACCAAGTTTGAAAAGACTTTTTGCATTATAAAATCACTCATTCATGTCCCAAGACCCAAAAAACTCTAACCCATGCTTCTAAAGCTCTCCCAAAAACATTGTCTACAATCTTAGGTTGATTCTTTGCTTGCATAAAAAAAATCACCTGATTGAGACCTAGATTCAGAGATTGTCAAGATGGGACCAAGAAAAGAGAAAAGGTCAAGGGTTGAGGATGTCTATGAAGATGTCGAGTAGAACTTCAATAAAGCTACTCGATTTAGGTCACTGGAGTTCATAGACAAATTCAAAGTAAAATTATCTTATAGGCTAGTATTGATCGTATGGGGAATAACTACAATGGAGGTAAGTTGTTCTATGTTTACTAATATGACTAATTATGGATTGACTTGCATGTTCAAAAAACCTTAACACGAATGATAGCATTTTGTGGGAATTCTATGTTAATAGTTAGATTAATGAACCCGATCCTCAAATTGACCACTTTGTCACCTATATCAGAGGTATCTAACTTACTTTTTCTAGAGGCCTCATTCCTACCATATTGGATCTACCTAGGGTTGAGAATGATTACCTTAGTGTAGGACTGGTTGACCTACTGCCTCCATTCCATGTAGTTGCTACTGATTTGTATGGTATTAACCAACATGAACACTGGGTCACACAAAAATGCTTGTTGGAATGAGTGTAAAGAATGAGTTTTTCCTGTTTAAAACTCACTTTTAAAGCTTGTTGGAGTGACTCCAAAAGCAAACTACTCGAGCGAGGTATTAGACCACTCAAGTTACCCCTAAAGCAGGTGACCTCTTGGTCCAATCTGTCCAGCTCACTTCTAAATGACTCTAATGAGTCCCAACATGCATGTAGTATAGATATGAACTCTAAACTTGATTCAATGCAATACATGGATGAATTTGGATCAAAAGTAAATGCAATTTTCATATTTAAACAATAAATGTTTAAAATTCACAAAAATAAAAACTATACAAATTTTCATTTTAACAACTCCATCAAAAATTCATCATCTCAATACATTACTTTAAGTACGCATGTGAATTACACGCGTGTACTTGGTTTTTGAATCTTTCAAAGGTAAACACTATCCAAGCATGCTAGAATGAAAGAGACTCTGGCTAATAAATAATGCAATAAAATTTATGTCACTAAGTTCTCTATCTCCTAATATGACTCATAGCAATGCAAATTTCAACTTTGATTTAAGGATGGAACAATTTCAATACAAACCAAAGTGTAAATTACCATGATCATAAAACAAAGAAAAGTAAATAAAAGTAAATCTTTTTGGCCTTTTATTTTCCAAATTTTTTAAAATTTTCAATTAATACATGTGCAAGAAAAAAAATGTTATTAAACAAAAGGAAAATAAATAAAGAATTTACCATAAATCCTAAAAAAATGTCAAAGTTGACATTTAAACTCTTTTTGAATTTTTTGCATTTCTTTTGTTTTTAATTTTTCAAATTTCAAATATATTTGTATTTTCACATAGAAAAAGAAATTACAAAATAACATAGACAAATATAGAAAGAATGTATGACCCTAGGGTGTTCGATAAAATGCACTAAAGATCCCCTAGGTCCCTACTCTAACCTCTCCTCTTTTTTAGAGTCATGACCTTATTAGAAGCACCCACCAACTTGGTTGAGATGGTGAGTTTCTGAAAATCCTCCCTAGTCACTCAAACTTGTTTTCCCTTTCTATAACTCGAGTTAGATTGGGGAATGGGCGGAGGACTAGCTTTGTTCTGCCCAAAGGTATGTAGAATAATTTCTATCTTAGGGGTTAGAAGAATCTCCAAAGGAGTGTTTTTTTATGTAGAAAGGTGAGTCGAGGGTAGCATCCCACTTGACCGATTTCTCAGAGTTGGAGAAATATTTCTCATCTAATGACCCTGAACAAGAAGTAGTTACGCTCGATGTGAGATTAGCAGCAAAAGAAAGAAGACAAGGGCCATGATCCTATGTTCATTTTTGCCTGGCCTTGATGATATGCTCTTAGCTCGTGGAGCTACATACCGAAAAAAAGAAAAAACTCTTGCTATTACTTTTAGAAGAGAATCGTTGGTTTGACCAAAGGACTACGTGGGAAATAATAGATCTAGGCAAGCCGCAACATGTTCTAAGCAAGCCAAAATAACCTGTGCATCAAATCCATGAAGGCTATTGGTGCATTAGTCAATCTGAACGGCATCACCGTATATTCAAAATGACCATATCAGGTACAGAAAGCTATCTTGGGAATATCCTCTTCCTTGATCCTCAGTTGATGGTATCCAGTGCGAAGATCAATCTTGGAATAATACTTGGAACCCCTTAGCTGATCGAATAAATCATCAATCCTTGGCAATGGATATTTATTCTTTACAATAACCCAATTCAACCTTCGGTAATCCGTACATAACCAAAGTGTTTCGTCGTGCTTCTTCACGAAGAGGACCAGGGCTCCCCAAGGTGAAGTACTTAGACAGATAAACTCAATTGCCAAGAAATGATCTAGTTGCTTCCTTAGCTCCTTCAACTCCAAAGGTGTCATCCGATAAGGAGCAATGGATATGGGTTCGGTTCCCGGATAGAGATCAATCTTGAACTCAATATCTCGTTGTGGGGGTAATCCAGGTAATTCAACGGGAAAAACATCCAAAAATTTTGACACCACCAATATTACGTCCGATTGGGATTTGTCTAAACCATCTCCCATTAAGTTGGCCAAGAAACTCAAATTGCTTCCTGCCTTAGCTTTCAAGAATCTATTTCCCATTGTGGGAAATGGATGAGAAGAATTGCGATCATTCTTGAAAGTAAAAACTACTCCTCCCGGTAGTTGAAAGGAAATTCTCTTCGGAAAGCAATCCATCACCGCGTGGAAAGCAGACAACAAGTTCATCCCAAATATAACATCGTACCCCTTCATATCTAATGCAACCAAATCGATAACCAACTCTTGCTCCCCAATGCGAAGCACACATCCTCTACACACCCTTGTTGTATTCAACTATTCCCCCGTGGGCATGTCAATACTAAGGGCATGTTCTAACTTCTCACATCCCAATCCCAAATTAAAAGCATATGCAGTATGTATGAATGAGTGTGTGGCACCGAGATCAAATAAGATTTGGGCCCAAGAGTTATAAACAAGGANGCATGTCAATACTAAGGGCATGTTCTAACTTCTCACATCCCAATCCCAAATTAAAAGCATATGCAGTATGTATGAATGAGTGTGTGGCACCGGGATCAAATAAGATTTGGGCCCAAGAGTTATAAAGAAGGACGATATCTTCCACTACGGCATTAGAAGCATCCTCCTCTGGTTGAGTCAAAGCAAACACTCTTCCTTGATGAGTGCCGCCGGGGCCTGTAGCTCCTAACGGCCTCTAATGTAATGGCTTTGGTGCTGGTGGCTTGTTTGCAT